TATCAACGCCCCGTTATCCGTATGTTCCGTTGACAATTAAGGGAGGATGATCACTTCCAATTCCGAGCAGAAAAGGGAAAGCCGTATGCCGATTTTACTATTAATATCCCCTACACAGCAGATGCGAATCATGCGAGACTGCGGTCTTGCCATAACGATTTTCATCTCCCACAATCTTCGCGATTCGCAAATTGATGCCACTAGCATCGACTCGAGGCCTAGACCTGCTTGAAGATCGATTACATTAGGATTCATCTTCTTTTGTTCTTCATGGCGTCATTGAAGTACGCATTTTTCGGTCCTCACCCTGCGTCCTTTGCCCTACCGATCCCCCAGATGGTGGCAGTTCAGTCAGCTCGTTATTATTATTGTTATTAATTAAACATCCTGACACAGGGGGCCGGAGAAGGCCTGCACAATTCTTCGTTGTGGACACGGGAATCCAAAACTTTTCTCTCTTCAGGACAATAGTAATCCCCGGTCTCTTCGTGCGATTGAGTACTCGCGTAGAACCATCAGTAGAACAATCATGTGCAGTGAAGCTGCAAACTGAGCTGCTCTCCGAGTTCACACCTAGACTCTCCGGGCTTGGGACAGGGGCTAGAGGCCCAGTTGATGATAATAATAGTTGATAATACTAATATTTAAGGTTGACTGAGCCACTCAGTCAAAAGCCACAGACTGACAATATTCCTACAGCCAGCCATCCCCAGTGCAGCTCACCCACAAGTATATCTAACTGTTTGTTGGGGATCGAGGTGGCTGTGGCTGTGGTTGTCACCCAGCCGTCCACCGCTTTTGTATTTCTCATCGCACAGTAAAGGGATGGCGGGGCCTCTTCAGGAGTCAGACCAAAAGACAGGCTCTAGGTGAGAAGAAAGGACAGTGTGACAAGTATATTGTCCAGGAACTGAACAGTGTTGTCAAAGGCCACCAACAGAGTAATAGGTGCAGCGAGAACAAAAAGAATTGGAGATAAAAAAGTTAAGGAATTTGGTGACTCCGATACGGGGAATCGAACCCCGAGCTGCCGTGTGAAAGACGGCGATGTTAGCCATTACACCATATCGGACAATTTGTAAGGGAGCGAAACTTTTGACTATATAAACCAACTATCTCTGAGGAAGAAAAGAGAGACAAAAAATTAAAAAATTTTGAGATTAAGCTCCGATACGGGGAGTCGAACCCCGAGCTGCCGTGTGAAAGACGGCGATGTTAGCCGTTACACCATATCGGACTGGCTGATATAATTCAGCCTTCTTTGAATTTATAAGACAATGACACCCCCGAGTTGCTACTCCACACTCGAGCATTACTCTATTCAGCGCTCTAGTTCTGACCATGGTACATGATCTGAGTCTCGGGTCTTTCACTGATTATAGAAGATCTCGATGGAACGAACATTAGCTTCCTCCAGTCTATTGGCATCGGCCAGCTCCGCGCTGCGTCGAGACTCACTGGAAACTTACACTAGCCCATAGAAGTTGCGCTGGTCATCGCGCTTCTCGACCCTACTAGGTAATCGCGGGTCTTGAGTAATGCATTGCCAACTCAGGTCAAAACGATGTTACTAACTGTTTACATAACTACTCAGTCAACCACTCCACTATCATGATACCTATCTAAGGAGACCGGGGGCGAAAGGCCGCCTTATCAAAAACACTGCTTCCGCAACCAATCGCCATTCGCGTCGATCTATCTTGCATTGATAAGGATGAGCTACGAAAACAACGTCCGCCAATGATGACGTTCAAACTGGAGCTGTTAGAGATAACCTACTTCCATCCTCCGTAAATGCACAGACCACTATTTCGAAAACAGGAACTGAAGCAAGAAGGAGCACTAGCAACACAATTGGCGCCATGTGCCCGTGGCCCTGTGGCCCTACATCAGGATGAGATTGATAGGACGTCGCTGTCCAGGGTCCTGAGGCATGCTCATTACGAGAATATGCTCTTATCGTGGAGTCACGAGTGGCTCGTATTTCCTATCTGAAGATGAAGCATAACGCTGATCAGCATGATGTCTGCGAATTCGGAGAATTAGTTGGATCTCCAGTGATATGCAGTCTGCAGTAACGGCTATATGTATGGAAGTTGCCTCCTGCTCTGGGGTTCTGGTCCAGATAAACAGCAGACTCCACAGATCTACTGGTGATTACCAGCCTGGTAATCCACGTGGAATCTCGGTACAAGCTGCACCACCTTATACAAGTCGATTTACACTACTCTCTTACTTTGCATTGAGTGGCAATTACGGGCTGTCAAACATGTCCTCAGAGGAGGTCAAGTTTGTTGCCCCCCTTTCGCAAGGGTTTGGCTATGGCATCATTATTGGATTGGGTTTGGCTTTTGCGTTGGTGATGATCTTCATTACTTGGGCTTTGAGGAGGTAAGAGCTTCCAATGTCCATTCCCATCGTGGCATACGTGGTACCCGATGCAATGCCTCTACCTTGACCCGATGTTATGCTAATAATGGATTGAATTATAGATATCAGCATGAAGTCCAGACGTCTGAAATGTTCTCAACCGCCGGACGGTCTGTAAAATCGGGTTTGGTCGCCGCAGCTGTTGTCAGTAGTTGGACTTGGGCAGCTACCCTTCTACAATCTTCAGCTGTGGCTTACCAGTACGGTGTCTCGGGGCCCTTCTTCTATGCTTCAGGTTAGTCCTAAGGGCAAATCATGACTTTGAGTGATGCCACATCTTTATAGATATTGACCGGGAATAGGTGCTTGTGTTCAGATTATATTGTTTGCGACACTCGCTATCGAGCTCAAAAGACGAGCGCCCAACGCCCATACCTTCCTGGAAGCTCTCCGCGCGCGATATGGAACTGCAGTGCATCTAGTGTTCATTGTATTCTGCCTCATGACCAATATCCTCGTCACTGCCATGTTACTCACTGGCGGTTCCGCTGTTTTAACTTCTTTGACTGGGGTTCACACAGCTGCAGCCTGTTTCCTGCTCCCCATAGGTGTTGTGCTCTACACGCTTTTCGGTGGTATCAAAGCAACATTTATCACTGACTACATGCACACTGTGGTCATTATCGTTGTTATCTTCATCTTCGCGTTCTCCGCCTATGCAACGAATGCGGAGCTGGGGTCCCCTGGCAAAGTGTATGATGCACTGGTTGCAGCCTCTGAGCTTCATCCAGTGGAAGGCAACGCTCAAGGCAGTTACCTTACAATGAGATCCAAGGAAGGAGGTATATTCTGGGTGATCAATCTTGTCGGTATGTACCCCTAGACTGCCCTGTGCGGAAACATAAACTCTGACAGATGGTTTGCAGGTAACTTTGGGTTCGTAGCATGCATAACTCGGGCTTCAGGCCAGATTGCTGATGACTGTAAATAGCACTGTGTTCCTTGACAATGGATACTACAATAAAGGTGCGTCTATTCTACCCTCGAAAGAACCACTGTCTCATGGGGATACTAATTGCTTCCAGCCATTGCGGCAAGTCCTGTACACGCTTTCCCCGGATATGTTATTGGAGGTCTGTGCTGGTTTGCTATACCCTGGCTATGCGCGACCACCATGGGCATCTCTGCACTTGCCCTCGAGGGGGGCCAAAGAATTAATCCCGACGATGTCACCGCTGGCCTTGTACTGCCATTTGCTGCTGTCAAGCTTCTGGGCTACAGCGGAGCTGTATGCACGACCCTGATGGTATTTATGGCAGTTACTTCGGCGTTCTCAGCTCAGTTGATTGCCGTCTCCTCTATCGTCACTTACGATGTCTATCAAGCGTACATCAACCCTGCCGCCAAGGGCAAGAGATTAGTATGGGTCTCTCACATGTCTTGTATCGCATTCGCTCTCATCATGGCTGGATTTGCGACGGGGCTCTACTACGCCGGAATTGGTATGGGCTATCTGTACTTGCTCATGGGTGTCATCATCTCCTCTGCGGTGTTTCCCGGAGCCATGACTCTTGTCTGGAAGCAACAAAATTGGGTTGCTGCTGCCTGCTCACCAGTTCTTGGACTTGCTGTGTCACTTATTGCCTGGCTCGTGACCGCCAAGAAGGAATTTGGTGTACTCTCCGTCGCAAGTACTGGGGCGAAGTGAGTTTTGTATTGGCCTCTGGCAGTTTGCCCCCATTTGCTAATTCGAAAATAATAGCTACCCTATGCTTGCCGGTAACGTCGCGGCTCTGCTCAGCCCGATCATCTTCTCGCCGGTTCTGACATACCTTTTTGGCGCTCAGAACTATGACTACGAGTCGATGCGCTCTATTCGCAAAGTCGACGATGCAGATGTTGCAGCGGCCGCGCACGTCGACATCGAACTGATTCCTGGTGAGCTTGACGTCCGCGACGCAGAAGCAGAGGAAGAGGAACAGCGCAAACTCAACAAGGCGGCTCTCTACTCTCGTACGCTGACCGTCGGCATGGTGATCTGCTTTCTGCTGTTGTGGCCAATCCCCATGTATGGCACTTCATACGTTTTCAGCAGGAAATTCTTCACCGGCTGGGTGGTAGTTGGTCTGATCTGGCTTTTCTGCACTACGTTTGGCGTAGTCATTTTCCCTCTCTGGGAAGGTCGTCAAAGTATCATTCGGGTCGTCAGACTCATGGCCCTCGATCTCACAGGGAAGAGGCCTGCCCTTGTTGGCGAGAAATCACGAGAGCACGAAGATACTTCTTCTGGTGTTGCTACACCGACAGAGAAGATGGAACCAAAGACAAGCGCCTGAAGCTACCTTTCGTGGAACTATTCTGACGACGGAAGATACGAAGTGATGTCTGATTATTGCCTTTGTGTTGGGATATTTGAGATCTCATTTTGTCATGCTCGATTTATACCCCATTTGTTATCTTAAATAGATAATATTAATTTCATTAATCACCGTACCGTTGGCATATAATTCTAGCAACACTTGCATGCTCTTCGACTGTGGTATATTTACTGAACGCAACGAGCCAAATTCCATTCACGAAGCACGATAGACATCATAAAAAACAACAACAAATCACCCAGTCTCAGCTCATCATTTATAGCTGTAATTCTGCGGCGGTGGTGCCTGGGGTTGTCCCTGCCCCGGTCCCTGGGGTGGGTAGCCCTGCTGCGGATACCCGCCGCCAGCAGCGCCAGCAGCGCCAGCAGCATAGTATGCCTGTGGCGGTGGTGCAGGACCTGGCGGTATGCCTTGCGGAGGTCTTGTATTGGGCGTGATATCAGGTCGATCGCTGTAGATTGTTAGAGAGAGAAAGGGAGATTTCCGGCGCCAATCTTGAGGGAAACGTGGCAGCCTTACCGCAGGTCTTGAGTAAATCGACACGTGTAGCACGTTACTTCCTGTCAAATCTTAGAATCCCGTGGACGTGCATCTCGAGGGGAAAACTCACCTTGTACTTGTGCGTTGCGAGAGGGATACAGGGCTAAAATCGCGGATATTAGCTTCGGCTTTTATGTGGCGTCTATAAGCTTGCAAGGTCATACAATGAAGCAAACGGTAAACCACGGCCTGAAGTATACTTCGTTAGCAAATCTTCCGTAATGCGATTCTGGTTTCATGACATACCACCGAGTTATACAGTGTCCGTTCCAGTGTTGGCCTACACAAGTTGGAATCAGTACATCCCCGTTTCACGCTTCAGGTACATCTCATTTGACCTCAATCAGTACTCACAGTTGTAACAATATGCTCTGACATTCTCGTACCCTTCGAGCATCGAGGTGAATTCTGTGACTCAGCGTTAGCAGCATGAGCGAAGGTAGTACGCATATATTTGAGATCGCGGACAAGCATTGCTATGTAGCTTGGATAGCCGCAATATATTGTGGAGGACATAGTTGTGTTTTGTTGTTGTTGGGCGAAGACCTTACCATGTGTTCCAAATGTGATGCAAATCGCCATGCTGAATTTTTCAAGTCACAAAGCCCCCAGAGTTATTGTCTATTGAGTATTCCAGATACTAGCATAAGACGGTCCCGGAGTATAAGATAAGAGGCCTCAAACTGGGACTCTTAAATAGAAGATGGTCTAGGGGCCAAGGCAGCGGGTATCAGGTGACGTGTGGCGCCGTGGCTTAGCACTTGGCGTTTGTTTTCAGATGCGAAACAGAACATGTGTTGATCAGAAGTCTAAAGAATCCTTCTACATTTTTGCCCATCAGACGCAGGCACAGTAATAATAATTGGCCAATCAAGTGTGACACAGGATCCTACCAAGGTCTATTGTCATGTAGGATTGTACGGCCGATTTCTTCTGGGATTCGTGGTAAACATGATAGCCAAGCCACCAGACCAGGTTTGCACATGTCTTCCAAACAAAATTGTACTTCTATCTCAAAAATTTCACAAGAAAACAAACGGTTAAAGTCGCTCAAGGTAAGCAGGCGAAGTCATTCATGCAGCGTGCTGCCGAGGACTGTATCATCAAGACACATTGGACTTGTCCAGCAGCAACCGCGGTCTGTTGTGTCCAGCAGCAGCGCACCACCCTTCCGTCTGTGACTGTTCTCGAAGGGTCAACTCCGGGGTTACCACCTTTCGACCGAAAAGGGGTTCGTAAGCCGACTCTCCATCCGAAAAGTAGGAAGTGAACGTAATGTATGATTCTATTGTGTCTTGAAGAGGAGGATGGCGCAGTGTCCGAGGTAGAAGTAGATGAAGTGCTTCGTCTCTGGAATGAGATTAGTTGCTATTCGGAGCGGATGAGACCCCAATGCGTACCATGTGTAACGAAACTGCCAAAGTTTCTTCCTACAACGCAATGCCATGTCGCTCCCTTGCGCGAATCAAACTGCCAAATTGCGAGTCAGCCAATCGACCCATGACATCTCGGACGGATAGAGCGCACTTCTCTCTTGATGTACTGGGCAATGTCCTGATAACGGTAAGTATCCTAAAGGACAACAAGTAACCCAAATCGTATGCAAACCTTCTCAATGTGATATTTCTCCATCGCCTCAGTGGCTAGAAAGGTCAGCTGCCGAACTCTCCTGAAAGATAAGAGAGATCATACCAACTTCAACAGCCTCTTGCTGCATCTCCTCCGTCTATTGAACGAAATGAGTACCTGCTTCGTGACTGAAATAACTGCTCCCTTACCATATCGACGGACTTGATCTGGGCTGTGGAAGACTTTCAGTTGCGCTCGTAATGATTGACAGCACCGCGACACTTACGCTCCAGCTTCTCCTTCTTTTCGGTGGCCATGCTTCTAGTAGAGATAGGGCGACTAGGAGGTGCAGATAGAGACAATAGATATAGATTGAGAAGAAAATTATCTTAAGGTCCGAAAGATGAAATGTGAATTGAGAATAAATCTTCAGACTATAAACATCGTCATTATTAGATGCCCAAACATTGATGCGACAACCACCGCGTTGATGGAGGTGCACGGGCCATGCCCACAATTTCCTCACCGCCTTAGCACTATAAGGAAGCATCAACCAAAATTTTTTTTTGGGCTCCCACTTGATAGTCTGCGGACAACTCTACACCCACGAGACACAATCATGGAGAACACAAGAGTGTTCGTGTCTGGCCTTCCGCCGACATTTACAAATGATCAACTAAGGAAGCATTTTTCAAGCCGCTTCCAGATCACAGACGCTCATGTACTTCCCAAGCGCAGGATTGGCTTCGTCGGCTTCAAAAGCCCTGAGGCAGCCCAACAAGCGGCTTCTTACTTCAATAAAACATATGTCAAGATGTCCAAGATCTCAGTAGAGATTGCTAAGCCGGTATGTCATTTCTTGCGAACAATCCTGATTTTGGCCCGATGTTCTGCTGTCATTTTCGTCTTCGCCCGCTGACTTCCTGCAAAGTTGGTCTTGAGACTGACCAGAACTATTGTAGATTGACTCTGAGCCTGTCAAAAAGGCAGAGAAACACAAGAAACAATCAGCCTCAGATGACTCAGGCGCAGGAAACACACTCAAACGTAAGAGGGACGGGGATAACACCCAGAAGGATTCCCAATTGCAAGAGTATCTTTCCGTAATAGAGCGTCCCTCGAAGACTAAGACGTGGGCCAATGGTGAAGACTTTCTCAACACAGTTCAAAACCAAACAGCGACAAGTGACCACCGGGAAGACCAGCGCGATGATACGACTGAACAAGTCGAGGAGCATTCTCTCAAGCAGCGGAAGAAAGCGAGAGTGGACGACATACCACAGGTGGCCCATGGCCGAGAACCTGAGCCAATGGTCTTGGACAAGACTGATGGAGAGCACGAGAGAACAAATGCAGATGATCAGGGTGAAGCTATTTCCCCCACACAAGAAGAGCCAGAGCCAGTGTCGGATGCCGATTGGCTTCGTTCGAAGACGAGTCGTCTTCTAGGTCTTCTTGACGAGGACGAGCAGGCTGAGTTCGACTCTACAGCCCAGCGAAAACCCGACCCGTCGCCGCAGCCAGCGACTGTCTCGAAAACCGACGTTCAACACTCCTATGATGGCAAGACTTCTGTCGAGTCATCGACGGAGGAAGAAGAGGTTGACACAAATATTGAAAATATACGTCTCTCCTCGCGGTTATTTGTCCGAAACCTACCCTACGATGCCAGTGAATCAGATTTGGAGCCCGTGTTTTCCAAGTTTGGCAAAGTTGAAGAGGTTCGTTTTATCCCTTTCATTTCTCACTGCCCTCCGCCCCCTTCTCCGGTTAGAGAGTTGCTCGAATGATGATCTTCCTGATAGGGACATCTGATGCAAAAGCACATGATGCGAACAGGACAAGAGATTTTAGTAGATGCTTCTTGGATATCTGAAGAGCAACCTCGACTGAACACATTTCTACCTCTTTGACACACAAAAAGAGCACCCATAACGAACTCTCGCTAATGGTTGCAGATTCACGTTGCCTTTGACACTCGGTCTACCACCAGCAAGGGATTCGCCTACGTTCAGTACATCGAGCCTGATGCAGCCGTCCAGGCCTATAAAGAGTTGGATGGAAAGCACTTTCAAGGCCGGTTAATGCACATCTTGCCGGCTGCTGCGAAGAAGACTTACAAAATCGACGAACATGAACTGTCGAAATTGCCCCTTAAGAAACAAAAGCAGATCAAGCGAAAGCTGGAGGTTTCTTCGTCCACATTCAGCTGGAATTCATTATACATGAATGTGAGTTCAGATTCGAGTAGTCGCTATATCTATGAGCCGGCTAACACGATATTTATAGACTGACGCAGTCATGTCCTCCGTGGCCGAACGACTTGGTGTCTCCAAAGCTGACCTTCTAGATCCCACCTCGGCAGATGCCGCCGTGAAGCAAGCGCATGCTGAGACGCATGTCATTCAGGAAACCAAAGCCTACTTCACAGCGAACGGTGTCAATCTCGACGCGTTCAAGCAGCGGGAGCGAGGCAATACTGCCATTTTAGTAAAAAACTTCTCGTATGGCGTCAAGGTTGACGATTTGAGAAAGTTATTTGAGCCATACGGCCAGATCACAAGACTACTAATGCCCCCAAGTGGTACAATAGCGATTGTTGAATTCGCTAGACCAGACGAAGCGCAGAAAGCTTTTAAAGGCCTTGCATACCGAAAAGTGGGAGACTCTATCCTCTTTTTAGAAAAGGCCCCTGCGAATCTCTTCGATGCGACAAGTGCGCCGCAGACTTCCGTACTCGAGACCAAGGCTGTGTCCCAAGGCTTCTCGACAGCCGACACTTTCGCAGCTGACGATGTGGACGTACCTGTGGTCACATCGACTCTCTTCGTAAAGAACCTTAACTTCTCTACGACCAATGAAAAGTTCACGGAGTTGTTCAAGCCATTGGACGGCTTTGTTTCGGCCAGGATCAAAACCAAGCCTGATCCTAAACGACCTGGGCAGACACTTAGCATGGGCTTTGGCTTTGTCGACTTCAAGACGAAAGMTCAGGCGCAGGCTGCTCTTGCTGCAATGAATGGCTACAAGCTCGATCAACATGAGTTGGTAGTAAGGGCATCTAACAAGGCCATGGATGCTGCCGAGGAGAGAAGACGCGAGGATACAGCAAAGAAAATTGCGGCGCGTCGCACGAAAATCATCATCAAGAACTTACCATTCCAAGCAACCAAGAAAGATGTCAGGTCGCTCTTTGGAGCCTATGGGCAGCTACGCTCTGTGCGGGTTCCTAAGAAGTTTGACCGGTCTGCTCGTGGTTTCGGTTTTGCTGACTTCGTAAGCGCTCGCGAAGCGGAAAATGCCATGGACGCGCTCAAGAATACGCATCTCCTGGGTAGAAGATTGGTATTGGAATTCGCAAACGAGGAGGCCATCGATCCAGAACAAGAGATCGAGCAGATCGAGAAGAAAGTAGGGGAGCAGCTGGACAGGGTCAAACTGCAAAAGCTCACAGGAACCGGGCGCAAAAAGTTCACTGTAGGGGCACAGGAGGACGAGGAGACCTAAAAGCCCTTCTCCCTGTGTATAGGGACCATTACTGCAACGACGACTACTTCTTTGATATCATCCCTTGCTTGAGCGGAAGTCGAGGCACGGAAGCAAGCAGGCCCGGCCGACACGTTCCTGTAGCCGTCAGTACGTACATACGCGTCGTGCAGAGTGCATCAAGCACCTCGTGCATCTTAATTGAGCCTCTTCTTTCTATCCCACTTACTTGGATATCGCGAGTCACGTTCACCCTGGATATTTCCGTGTTGTATATACGCTTAGTTTCTATCCTGGGATACCTGCACGGCAGAATCGGAGGAGAGCTGTCTGCCCTGCGTTCTGACCTACATTCTTCATGTCCTTTTAGTAAAGAGCTTCGACATTCCTCAGTTATGTTGTCCAACGTCTTGCATTCTTGAGTCTTTGCCACCTCTCAACTGGACCTGGCTCATTCGTACCTGCTTGAACAGCGACAGCCAGTTTTGAATGTGCGCAGCATCAAAATCCCCGAGCAGGTGCTCAGT